TACCTTCTGCTGTGCTTTAATGACTGAACATCATTAAAATAGATAAAAACATGTCAACTCATACATTAAACAAGTCGCAAAAAAAAAAAAAAAGCTCAAATTTGTGTTCACAAAATTTATTTTTTTGTCAAAACATCCGATCTGACTGTACGACATCCAGTTGTAGTCACTGTTCTACTGAACTCTGTTTTTGTTCTCTTCAGACACTGGCAGCACTTTGTTAAGTTTAGGATTGTAGTCTGCTCTAACACAGATTGTGAAATGACAAAGGGCTGTGTATCGCCAAAAGCTAAACTGTCCTCTTTCAACTCAGCAGGGCGCTAATTTCCAAGTTCTTAATTAAAACCAACTAAAATACAGAAGCTCAGAGCAAGCAGCAGCTTGTTCGTCTGCAGGAACCACACTTCCGGAGCCTGGGTTCGTCTATGTTCCCCTGCTTGTTCCTCACACGCTGCTCCACACTGGGACACAAAGATAACTGCCTTTTTTTACCATTTAAGTCATTTGAATCAAACAGTACCACTCACATGTATTGATACATGTGTATACAGCACACACACACCACGTATCAAGAGCAGTAGCAGGAAGCTATGTATTGCCTCCAGCTTTCCACCCACCCACTTTCTCCAGGAATCCTCCTTTTTTCATTTGGAGCAAATGAAAACATGCCTTTCAAGTGGAGAACATCATTTGGACTTCTATTTCTGTGGAGGAGACTCAAATAATTAGAACAGGTGTTGTCGCCGCGGGCGCTTCTGCAAGAGAAGCAGAAGAAGTATCAACTCAACAGTCCCACTGCCGCCGCAGAACAAAGACCGTGGATGAAAGAGACTGTGACAAGTAGCAGAATACGAACTCTCCTCCAGTCACCTCCTCCTGACCACAGCGGCAGAGAACATTTAACTAAACATTTCATTGGCTGATTTTGTTATTGCAGCTGTTCGATTTATTGATTTAAAACGTATGAAACAAGGAACATGCATTTAAAAATTTTCAAAGAAATTCTACACAACATGTCTTTGACTCGCTGAATTTAATCAAACTCGAATCGCATTTGATGCTCCGCGCTGAATTTGCATGTTAAGGAAGACCTGACTGACGATGATTTGTTTGAAAAATGAATCAAAATTTAATGAAATTTAGAATCTGGCAGTAAAACACATTTCTTTGGCTGCCTCGGGCAACCAAGCGATACTCTAGGAAGTTACTGCTCCAGGTGAAAAAATAATTGCATACAGCCGTGTTTTCTGGACAGATTGGACCCACAATATGTAACAAGTTAATGTGTGAGCTGTACAAGGGCTGGTTATTACAGCTAGACAGAGCCGGGCTAGCTCTGTCCACTCCGGTCTTTATGCTAAACTAAGCTAACTGACAGACGTGTGACTGGTAAACTAACTCCATCCATCCATTATCTATGCTCACCATGGGGGGCTTGAGTCTATCCCAGCTGACTCAGGGTGAAGGCAGGTTCACCTGGACAGGTAACCAGTCTATCACAGAGCTACACTTAGAGACAGACAACCACATTCACACCTACGGACAATTTAGAATCACCAATTGACCTCAACATGTTTCTGGACTGTGGGAGGAAGCCGGAGAACCCGGAGAGACTCCACGCAGAACGATCCCGGGTGTCCTCACCGGGACGTGAACCAGCGACCTTCTAGCTAACGACGGTGCTAACCACCGAGCCACCTTGAGGCCCACCAGGAAAACTTACAAAGCTAAATATGTTCTTAAATACTAATAAAGGTCATTGCTTTACTCCCTGAACAGTGCACACATAACTAAAAGGAAACACTTGAATAAAAGACCACTGAGAGTCAATGCAGATGCTTTCATAAAGGACACACTGAGCTGTACGAGGAGGACGAAACTTAGGAAAATGATTCATGTAGATTTCATCGTTATAAATCTTGTACAGTGAAAAAGCATTTTGACTGTGTTTTGAGTGTTTCTAAAAAGAACTTGGAGTGGTTAAATTAAAGCTGCAAAAATATGAACGTCTCCACCACAAAAGGAAAATCCTCAGTGTTTGTGTGTTGTATGACTAAAGAGGCAAATGTTACCATAAGTTAAGACAGTTATGTGGAAATTGTGAGAAATTGATTGTCAGAAATTGTTGAAACTTTAGGACTTGGTGGGTTGAAGTGTTTTCATTCTGTTGTGCTTCAGTGCAACCTATAGTCCTCTCGTCCTTCACATCTGCTCACATATACTGTATTTCAATACAGACACATCCTGAATGAAGCTGTTTCGTTTGTTTGTTTTCATACTTTTCTGTTTTTCCCGTCAAACAGCAGAACAAGCATGAACTAGTAACCTCAACGCGGTCCATTTAGTCTACGTGGTAACCAGCAGCCACCTCAGAGACGTGTTCAAGCTGCTGCTAAAATCCAGATTTTATAACTGCTGTATCATCTGACAAAATCAACATGAGTTAAAAACAACAGCTGTGGTTAGGGTTAGACCTCTGGTGGAAAAGGGGCTCGGACAGCAGCAGTTCAACGGTATTTCAGAATATCCAGCTTCTTGGATTCACCTCCGTATGGCTGCCCTCTGCAACTAAAACCTTGGCCCCCAACTACCAGCCCCAGCTCCTGAGACTTTCACTGTTATCATGTCGTTGATTCAGAATCTGTAATACTGGACAAGCAGATCAAAACACTATGAGTGAGGTAAAAAAAAGTGTCACATTAACAAAAAACCCTTTAAATGTGTGTAATCCCAGCTAACTGGTCTTTTACTGATCAGGGCAACAAACTCTCATGATCGTCCACCTGCCTGTGAAACCTTTTCAACAGAATGTACAACCTGCTGGCCCACGTGCACCTCCATGCTGGCAGGAAGCCCTTCAAGTGTCCTTCCTGCACCTCAAGGGAAACCTCAGCAGGCACATGAAGGTCAAGCACGGATTGGACGTCTCACCAGAGGGACAAGAAGTTGTTCCAGAAATGGAAAGCCAGGGGGAGTATGAAGGACAGAACTTCAGCTTCACATCGCCAGATAATATGGTGGCTCGCAAAACCTCACTGAGCTCAAACATGGAGGACATGGAGGAGTGGATTGAAGGATTCAAGCAGCTACACTACACCTGGAGTAGTGATGGACCAGAGGACATGTTTGTTCCAGTCCCCTTTCTGATGTCCAGCAGCTTCCAGAATCCTCCAGGTGGTTAGGGGCTCGCTTCATTTCAAGTCTGCTTCCGAGCTGCTGGCTTGGGGCATATTTGCTTTGTACAGGAAGTGAATCATAGCTACCGTTTCATTTGACATTATCTTCCAACATCACCTTGCCCATGTCATAGAACCCCGATCCAACCTTCAGTGTCAGAAACCACCAAGAACAGAGCAGCAGCAGCTCTCTCATCAGTTCATCTAGTCACAGCTGAAGGTACTACAAGCAACCACTGGACACTGAGAGGATGCAGAGCTCATGGTACAGCTTTGAAATGAAAATTAACGACTTTTCCATTAAACTAGAATGAACAAAAATTCACCAGCATGAGGGCCTGCAGAGACTGCACATGTATTCTCCCACATGATATGGTGAAGGATGATTCATCTAACCACATCTCTGTAGACCAGTGTTGAGGCTTTTTGTATCACTGACTTCTCAAATGTGCTTTAATTTCTCTTTAATGAGGGTTTATGCACTGCAGCCCCACCACAACATCCCTCTCTGTGTGAATGGACTGTTCTTGTTGACACATTTGGACACTTCCTGCTTTGATTCACCCGATAGCCAAGAGTTGCTCTCCTGTTCTCGTAGTTTAATCGTAGCAGCTGCTTGAGTTCCTTGAAGACGTTTCATCCAAGAGGCTTCATCAGCTCTGACTGACTAGTTGGGAGTTCCACATACTGATATCCTTAAGGAGCCATTAACACCTGAGTTTCAATTGGGTGTTTGTTGCTCCTCCCCCTTGTTATGTGAGTCGTTAGTGCTCCCCCTGACACAAGTCTACTATTAATCTACAAGACCTGGATGACTGAGAATCTTCACAGACGTGCTGCTCTCCTGTGTTTCCTTCCACTAATGCACCATCACCAGTCATCAAATGTGTGCTGCTGACCTGTCTGTTCCTTTTCATTGGAGTTTATCCCAAAGACCTAAAAACAGATGTCACTTTGATTGACACACTAACCAGGTGTGCAGTTTGTGACTGAAGGTCCTGCCATCCATGACCCAACGACGAACCATCTGACGAAGCCACTGAGGTGTTTCCTTCCTGCTCGTGCCACAGAGCATGTATGGAAGCAGTGAGCTTGTGTGGAAGCTTCTTTCTACTCATTTATTCAAGTTTCTTTGCATTAAACAGATAATTCTGAGGTCTGCAGGTACATGAGCTTGGTGGCCGTGAGAGCGTGGCACGAAAACCAGCTCTCCTTGTCTTTGTTCTCCGAGTCTTGAAATGATCTACATCGCTGCTGTCACTTAAAGCTCCCCTGAGAGCGCAGACGACTGTGATCTGCTGTGAATTTCACCGAGAGTAGTGAGCTCCAAAGTGGTGGGAAAACAAATTCCAGCCAAGAAACTGGGGGAGTGAGACATGCACGAAGAATGCAGCCCCTTCTCCGCCGCCGAGCACCTAACAGCTGTTGGTGGAGCTTTACAGTATTTTCCTCCAGCGCAACTGGGGCACCATGGAGCTGTCAAAACTTAACAGAGACCAAAGGCAGGTTTCTAAGCCGAGATCTGGCCAGCTGACAGAGCATCTCCAGCATTATACTGACACCATTACATTCTCTGTTTCAGTCATGTTGTGGTAAAGGACTGACATATTACGGAGGAGTCTATGGGATGGCGCAGATTGGTTTGCTGTTTCAACATTTTAATTAAAGGCAGAGTGATGTCATTGAAACAAATGAAAGTCCTTCATTTTTTTTCAAGCAGCATGATCTCAATTCCAGTCCCCAGTTTCAGCAGGTAAAATGGGGGACAAGAAACAGAAACAGAAACAGAGTGGACGACCAGACAATTGGATGTCAGTGTATTACCTGGACCCTGGCCTCAGTCAGTTTAGTCCTCTGCGCCAGCTCCTCTCTGGTGTAAATGTCAGGGTAATGTGTTCTTTCAAAAGCTTTCTCCAGCTCCTCCAGCTGCTCCGCCGTGAACGTAGTCCGACTCCGGCGCTGCTTCCTCTTCAGGGGGAGGTCAGGCTCCGACTCCACATCCGACGCTTCGTCCATCCGACTGCCTGACATCAAAGACACATACAAGCACGTCAGCATGTTTTAGGCTCTGAATATGTTATTAAACACCTTGAGATCTCAATCTAACGTGCCCCAGATGAGCTCTATGGTTGGTTGGACTGGTTGGACTCAAAGCTCTCAATTCATGACATCTTATTTCTTCCATTAGAACCCGCTACTTCCCATAAATTTACTCACCCTCAGCTACCTGACTAAATCAAAAGTCTGCTCCTAAAAATAGTCAATTGATGACTATCGGGGATGAATTCTAGCGTCAGTAGCAGGTTGGTAAGTTTCTATTTATGCTGTAATGTAAGATATTGACACAAATCATTTACTTATTGGCTCCAAAGTAGGGATTGATTTGTTAAACTATTTTTTCAATTGATCAATCATTTAAAAAATTAAGCACAGTGGATATAGTTCTATATGCTGATAGGGCTATTCTTAACCACAGACTTGTGACATATCCTGCAACAGTGCTTTAGATGTACAGGCCACACAGCTGCAGAGTCACGAAGACGCTCGCTACAGCTGGAAGCCTGGTGGTGGCCCATTGCTAGCTAAACCCCTACAATGCCAACACTAATCTACTGCAGTCGGAGCTACAGCATAAATCACAGCAAACAAACCACAGTCTTCCATCTCATTAAATAGTCAAGAGCCCCCTGGTGGCGCAACCAGGTACTACAGCTCATCGACGATACAATTTCTGACGTGCACGTCCTTTGTCCTTCTGCATCATCGGTCAAAATGTATTTTTACAGTTTAACTGTAATGCAGCAATTAACTATCAACAACAACTAACTGATGAATCACTGACATCCCTATGCTAAAGTGTATAATTATGTATAATTTGTGCATTCATACACACAATAAAGATAGAGATGGCGGCGCACATGGACGCAGCGCCCCCTTCAGGAGACAATGAGAGTGTCTTGTCTATCCCAGACGTTCAAAACTTACAGCCAAGAGACTTTGCTGAACATCAGGACAGTGAACGTCGCTAAAATTGCGGCGCTCGGGTGTGATGTGGACATGCTACACCAACACGGAGTCCGATCGGAGACTACGCCGGCAGTTACCCGAGAGAGAAGGAAGCGGTACGAACGTAAACAAAGGAGGAGGAAGAGAGCCGGGATCCATGCTAGGCTAAAGGCTAACCCCTCCAGACCAGCAGGACCGTCCTCCTGCTCTCCAATGTCCGCTGATCAACAGCTTCATTCCACCAGCTGTCAGAACGCTGAACTGCTGATCCAGATATGCAAACACTTATTCATTTAATTGCTTTAAGTTTTTGGATCCTGAAGAAACGCTCTCTCATCTTGTCTCTATTGTTGTATGTACAGCAACATGACAATAAACTTGATTTGATTTGACAAACTAGTCATTTGCAGCACAGTTAGTTATCCAACTGAACTTTAGGTTAGTTGTGATCGACCCATTGTACACTGCGTTAACAGGGAATAATCTAAAGCAACAAAACAGAAATGACGTCCACAGCAAACAACAAATCGGGATACCAGACACGCAGGGCAGCACACTGGGAATATTTGAAAACCTCAGCATTTCTGTGCCCTCACCTTTAAGTTAAGGCAAAAAAACCTGATTTTGTTTGGGACAAATAACAGACCACTAACAGAAGAACCAAACAGAAGGTTCTTCAAGACTTTTTCAAGACATCCAAGAATCTAAACTCGGTCACAGCTGGTCACATTCTGACAGCCAAGCTGAGCTACTGCCAGATCTGTATCATATCTGTGTGTTTCCAGACGCTGTTTTAAGTCCCATCATGTGGAAGTTAAATGGATATAATGCAGCAAAAGGCCCGGCTACAGTTTCCCACAAAGAGAAGGAGGCAGAGGGCACAGGGACAGATGATGCTTCAAATAACACAGCCTTCAATGGTTTCACCGACAAAACAATTTTCTTGTGCTCGGTAAGTACAATTCTTTATCAAAACCCGCATATCCCAGCATCCCCTGAGGCACGGTGCTAAGAGTTGGAGTGGAATAAGGGGTGCTAATCTTTTCAGACCACCTTGGTGATGTCTGTAGCACCATTCTTTAACAGCGGGCCTCGGGGCAGCCCAGACACACTGGCAGGATGAAAATAGTTCCAAATTTTTTTATTTTTTTTTATTTTTTTGTGCAGCTGGTTCCCCTCACATACAATATGTCCACCGCTCACAGGGCTGGTTGTTGAAGTTAGTCCAAATTCATTCCTAGAATTCTTTAAATACTGCAAGAAAATTATCATGTTTTGTTATTAGAAATGTCCTCAGGAAGTAGTTTAATAATCTGTCTGTGTCGATGAAAGGTTTCATTTATTTGTTTTGTGGTCAGTGGTGTTAACTATAGTGACCAGAAGTCATCAGCTCGCCTCTTTGGTTTGCTAAAAAGACGTGTTTATAATGATATGACTAATTAGTTCATTAGGTTGTTGTTCTGCATTCCTATTGTTTGGAAGTGAGCTGAGTAGGTCTGTTAGCTCATGTAGCAGTTTGTTGCTGTGCCTCATTGATCTGAGAAGGAACGGTGCTCTCAATGTGAAAATGCGACTGCTTTAAGGTATTGATGTTTTCTAATGTCTGGCCAGGAGCTCCATGTTTGACCATCACCACCAACCACACGTTTATCCAACCTTCTGTCAGGAGAAACGCTGTAGTTCTCCGTTTCTAAAGCCTCGTTTCTACTCAGCTCTGTGTACGTATGAAGAGTCCATTTGCAAAAACAGATAACTCCATTTTTGTAGATTTTCAGAAAACTTATTCTGTTGTTGTTTGCTTGAGAAAATATCAGTCAAACTGAGTGGATTTGACTCAGTAGAAATGACAACAACAAAGATAACTGAAGTTTGATTGATATTGTCTCAGGTAGACGATGGAAAAGTGGGTTTTCTGAAGGTTTGTGAAGACGGAGTTATCTGTTTTTGCAAATGAACTCTTCATATATGAGTCAACTGCAGGTCTGTTCACTCCTGTTGGAAATAGCAGACAACTAATTGACTTTTTCTTTTGTTCCAGTCCAGGATTTGCCTCAGACAGGTTGAGAGATTTGACCTTTTATGGCAGATTAAGATGCCTGGTGCAACAAATAAATTAGCTGACAGGCTACTGTACATTAAGAGTAAAGAACAGCTGCTGTCTCGCTCAGTAAATTATTTAGAATAGCAGTAGTAGAACCAAGATACTGCGACGACACATTGAGTTGTTAGTCATCCCTCTGCCTTTGTGATTTTTTACTTGAAAGAAAGGAGGAAAGCAAAAAGAATAAAATAAAAAAGAATTTCATCACGACACTAAAAGCACGCTGCTCTAAAGCAGGCATATGAAACAGTTTCATGTTGTGGTAAAATTGCCAAAATTAAAGTCCAACAGTGACACATAGAGCCAACGTAAATTTGAGCATCGACATCCAAACTGCCAAAGGTTGAGTTTTTATAAAGAGGCAGTCAGTAATGCAAACACATGGAAACCCCACGTTGTTGAAGAATGAAGGGCGTATCTAACATCAAAATGAAAACCTTTCAGAGTGACCATGACGGTGGTCCTGAACCCTCCAGTGAGTCTCAGCTCCAGGTAGAGCGTATTGAAGACTGGGTCACACACGTTTGGAAGAAGTTCAGAGCCCATCACACAACTCGGGAAGGTAGACGTGATGCATAAAAACACACCTCAGGCCACATTCACTGGTATATACATAAGAAAAAGGAAGGAACTGGTGTGCAGCCTGCGTGGACAGCTGGATCTGTTCCGTCACACGGGCATGAAATGGACAACTGCTCTGGAGAGCAGAAGCACATCTAACACAGTGTGACATGCAGAGAACCTGCAAGACTTCTGTCATCACAACGAGCACAGAGGCTGGAGCTTAGAATATTCATGGCGCATTGTGGTTCAGTGAAACAGAGCACCGGCCGCAGAGCGTGCACGTTTTCCCACAGGTTATTGATTTGTTTGTTTGAACCGAGTGCGTTCGCCGCGTCGCAGAAACCGGTCATGTGCTGGCGAGGTGAGAGAGAAAAAGGCCCATCAAACTGGCTTAGACAACTACAGGGTCGGCTCTGTAGTTTAATTAAACAAGGAATTATGGGATTAGTGTGAGGCTCCCATTGCAGGCCACTGGAAGAGTCTCAGGGAGAATATCTTTTTGTATTCCCCCCCTAGCTACCCCCCTTGAAAGCTCCCACTAGAGAATTCTCAACGGATTACATGTGCCTGCAGGACATGCTGCTGCATTAATTAAATCAATTCTTTCAACATTTAGTCCCCACAAAGATTTGTTTTTCTAAAAACCAAGGTTAAAAACATATATTTTCCCCCCACGCACAACTTTTAAAAAAGCCTCAATATACAATATATGTTTGTTGCTGCTGGGTCGGGGGAAGGATGGGGTGGTGGGGGGGCGGGAGGGGGGGGATTGCTGCAAAGCAATTTGGCACTAACTCAGCATGACAACACTTGAGGCTGCTGCAGTGGGCTGGGATCACTTTCCAAAAGGCACCTCAGAGTCCTCGGGGTGCTGCTGTGACAGGATGGACTCTATTTGTTTTCCCTCCACATGCTGCTGGATTTAGGGCAGGAGAGGGGCAGAGGTGGGAGCGAGGGAGGGAGGGATGGGAGCAAAATGAGGCTTCCTTGCCTCACAGTAATTTCTATCTTTGGCACTTCTATTCTTTCTCTGCGTCCATGCTGCATGCATTTGGCCTGTGTGTGAGAGGAAAGGCCACGAGGCTTGTTATTATTTTGTTTTTTTTTCTTTCGAATCTCCTTACTACCAAAACAGTCACTTCTTCTATTTTTTTTTTTTCCTTCTAGCGTTTCAAAATAATCAACATATTAACAACCCGGGCACAGAGAGCATATGGTGTGTACATCCAACAAAAGTCTGGAACAGTTGCAGGATTTGACATGCTCTGAGGTTAGCATTGATGGAATATTCCCTCTAACGCTTTAACCACCAATTAAAGACAAGTTCAGAGCAAACAAACAAAAGGAGCAGTG